GTTCACCACTACTCATGTGTGGTGATTAATGGAATGCTGATGTACAGATATGCAGCTGGTTGTCTGTGTGGGGGCGGAGCCTGAGGTGGAGTGACATGCCCCTGGTAGGAGTCACTCCATCATAATCCAGCCCCTGTTCTTTCTTCCGAAAAAAAAGCCAAATGTGGCCAGGGATCTAATCATCTGTTCACTCCAGTGGGCCGACCCACTAGATTACTAGCCAGTTTTTCCAGCCGTGTCAGCTATTCCGGCAGCGGCCTGCCGCTGCACACCCCGTACCCATCTGACGAGATACTTGAGTGGGTAAGTAATTCATATTTCTTAAATGAAAGAACACAGACTGCTGAGAGAGAAAAAAGATCACCTCTCAGCGTTTTTAGGAGGCTGAGCCAGGGAGCTCATAAGACCTGGAGAAGATGGAACTGACAGTATGGTGGGTGTAACACACTCTGAGATGTTTGGAATACAAAAGGCGGAATGTGGGGAACCAAGAAAAAACATATAATGCAATAGCTGCAGCTTCCACTAGAATTAACTCATAAATGAAGAAATCCCATTAGAACTGATCTAAATGTTCAAATTGTTCCCTATGGATACGTGCACTTGAAATAACATCCTTCCAAAATCTCTATCTTTCAAATTAAGCTCATCTGCTGACAGTCATATACGCTCTTCCTCACAGCTGCAGAGGTGTTTTTGTGTTTTAATTAACCTTGTGGATTAATTGCTAATAATAACATTACAACCTCCAGCATTCGCTAATGTTAAGCACATTGCCCAGATGTTGTTAATACTGTACATAAATCACAATGGTCTGTTAAAGTACACTTTGTGACTTTGGAGTAACAAAAGTGTTGGCCTAATTATGCCAGTGGTTATATAATAGGGTAATAAGGTGCTCTGAAACATCTAAAAGAAACTGTCTGCTAGAGTAAACATATGAGCGCAATATAGATGTAAACTTTTTATTTATTTATTATTGTTTATAGTTTGGCTTTCATCCAATTAAAACACTCTGGGCAGTCTTAAAATGGTCAGGAAAAAAGGATTAAATGTAACGAGTCATGCAGCTGAAACAGAAAACAGGAGCAGGAGCATACAGATACTTATTTTACATTTCCCTTATTCATTACATTGTGATCATTTGGTTGAATAAATATGTACTTTCCAGTCATAGCTAATTATAAAAGCATGTAAAACATGCACAAATTATGCTTGCTTAAGTCGTGCGGATATTAGCATATCCTTGCTGCTTTGGAGGGCTGGGTAATGGCTTTGCTGGGTAACCAGTTGTGTAAAGCTCGAACTCTCTGTGTAGGATGAATCTCATTACTGGGACATGTCATCTCTGGTCAACTCTGGACAGCGCTATCCCCCTGTGACATTACTTCCTATTTATTCAGTGTGACCCTAATTGAAAATCATAGCAGGTGTGCCCTTTATCGGTGTAATCTCATTAGCAAACTTCACAAATGTGTCAGGAAAGAAGTTCTGCTCCGTCGGTGGTGGAGAACGTGTCGTACACAGCAGCCCACAGATGATCACAAAAGTTGCTGCTCACTGAAGCGGATACCCACTGAATGATAATGTTAATAAAATGCTCCCTACGCATAACAGGTTGTGCTTATATTACAGTACATTTCATTACTACGGGGTTGATTTTGCCAAAAACAGTAGGTGGGAGAACTAGGTTGAAAGGTATGCAGTTAAAATCTTTGCATAGTTGCAAGATATGTTCACAAGGCTTAATGCTTTCCTGTATGAGAACCCTCACTAACCCTTGCTAGCGATAATAAAAGCATGATTCAATATTAGTTATTTTGGATTCATAGGGTATCAAAATAAGCAGACAAATTCTGTAAAAGTAAAAATATGAACATATTATAATTTGAATTCCATGAAAAACTATTGATGTGAATACATTCTTGTTTTGTGGTAAGAAAACCAATTCTGTACATTTTGATGTTTTTGTCACTGCCTGACAATAAAAACAGAAAAATGTTGTCAGTGCAAACTCAGAGCTGTGGATATAAATCAAATGTATGTGCAACTCAATGCATACTTATTATGCAATTAAATATGTAATTATGTAATTACATTTGAATAGTCTACCAAAACAAAAGTAATAACTAGACTTCTGGTCAATACACAGAGAAAAGGTAAATACCTTCATGGTTAAAACTATGGCTTACTATCTAGAGATCTGCATCAAATCAAGCTAAAATTGTATAAAATGGTACAACAAAGACACTTTCTACTGCAGCATTCTCTTATACTAATGGGCATGTTGTTTCTGCATGATCACGTTAGTACCATTCTCCATGAATAATTCCAGGTGTAACAGCCCCATAATGGCTTGTGTTTGCTCCTGGAGGGCTGTCTGTGGGAGCTCAATGCTAATCCCTTTTTCACATTGCGTTTTAAGCAGCTCTCCATTTACCCACCTTATAAAACTCATTCAAGGCCATCCATCACTACACTGCCATCAGCAAAGGAGGAGAAAATCTGAAAAGACCTGTGCCAAATAAGCCCAAAAGACATCCTGGACACTTCCTCAATGTTTTGTTGGTGACTTTAGTGAAAGGATGGCTTTGATCCTTTAAAAAGACTTCAGAAAAACATCATAAGAGGAAGACACATAAAGAGCGAAAGCATGTCTGCCCTACAAAACCTCTCAGAGTCACTTTGGCACTTCGCTGACAACAGTTTAAACAAAGTCCTGATTTCTAGCTTCACCGGTTGCCATGAAAACAAGCGAGCGGATTACTAGAGACAGTGGGACACCTGTTCAAATGTACCATCGCCCACTTCATCACTTAATCAGAGAGCACTGGCACAGCTAGGCAGGCAAGCTAATTCAGCCTAATTCAAATGAATAGAGTGCTAAAACAACACTGACAATATGGCTGCGTCCATTTAAAAATGGCAGCCACTTACAACACTGATGGGTTTATTTAGAACATAATGAAGCTCTAAAGGTACATGGAATACACAGGAATCTGCTGTGCTGAAGCTGCTGTGCAGACATCTGACTGATGTGCTTATTGCATGGACGTATATAATGTATGTTGGCTGCATACGATCATAATGTTGTGTAAGACGTCCTACCTTTCGGGTCACTGAGTACAGAGCCAAAAGCACTAATAATGAAGTCAGCTTTTAGGCGAGTGATCTGCTCCTGGTCCTCCACCCATTCGCCAGTGGCAGTCTGCTCTGTCCGGCAGAACTCCAAGCCATGAACGCGACCTTCCTTCAGCAGGACCTCCCTCGGGGACAGAAAAGGCAGGAACTCGCACTTCTCTTCCTTAGCCAGCTCCATCTACTCAGACAGCAGAGAGAACACAATAATGAGTAGTTACATTCAGTTACACCTGTATGACAAATCAGTGCCCTCTATGATCTGTAGCTTCTTTTGCCCATCATGACAAAATATACAGTGTGGTCAGACTATCATTGTCATATCAAAATCACATTGAGGTTGACTTTTTTACACCACTAGAAAACTGCAGCTGCCTTTTAAATTGTGTGAACATTTCATGATGAAAGGATCAATAGAAATGATCCAAAATTACTTGGAATTTATCTGAAGCAAATATCAAAGACCACCCTTCATTTGTTTAATTTCCAGTCACACCGGCCATTAAGAACAAGTTATTCATTTTTCAGCATAAGGAAAAAAGGAAAGCACATTTTCAGTATTAGTGTTTCCACCCTTTGCCTTTATTACAGCTTTCATTTTCAGGAGAACTGCTTTCAGTTTTTGAAAAATATTTTTCCACACTTCCAAAGTTCAGTCTCAGAAGTTGGTGCTATTTTCTGCTTATTACAATCCAAGTAGCAGCAAACACATTCAGTGATGTTGAGGGCCAGACCAGCAGCTTCTTTGTTCAATTTGCATATTTTTTGCTTATTTCATTTTCTCAGTGACAGCTTCTCAACAGCTACACATCCTTTCAGACCCACAGTGTTGAGTTGTCTTCTCATAGTGGAAAGATGGACAGAAACACCTGTGGATTTTTTCAAATCTGAATAAGCAGCGCAGCTTGATTTTCTCCTCTCTTTCAAAGATGAAAACTTTAAGTACTGTTTATCTGATAGTTTTGGTGGTCTACATCATCTTACGCTGTTATTAGGAATTTTCTTCGTATCTTTTGCTCTTTGTGGTCTCTGATTTTTGCACAGTACTGTCTACATTATATGTATAAACATATAATAAAATTAAGAAAATTTTTCACTTGTCCTGAAAAGTTTACCTTTTCAGAAATGCAAGTTTTTTTTCTTTAAATTAATACCAATATGGAATAGCTTGTAACATCTAATGTAGGTCTTATTTTATGCCTAAAGAAGAGATAAACACTGTATTTATCTTGTGAGAAGGCAAAGTGGATTTACAACAAACAACACAAAAAACTCAGTGTAAAGCGTTACTGAGGCATCCCAAGATTTTCTGTCAAATTAATGAAAATCAACCCACAGAGAGGGTCATCTGAATTACAGCTGCACCTGAGATGTGTCTAAAAAGAAGTGTAGCCACGAAATGATGGCTGTCTTTTTCCCTTCAACAATACTTGTCTAAACTGTCTCAGTTCACATCAATGCACATTGCTCACATAACTCTGAGCGATTTTTTTTTCTAGCTTTCCATGTGAAGGTTACTTACGCCTACAAGATCCCTAAACTTAATATACCTTATAAACAAACTTAATTAGTTGGAGGTGATGGAAGCAGCATTGCCAGGGCTCTCTGCAGGAGAGTGTAAACAGATGTGAATAATTACCTTACTTTTCCTATTTTCTTTAAGTTATTTCTGTCGTTTCTATGGTAGCGCAGAGGTGGGCACAGAGAAGGGCAACACAAGGCGTGACAAAAGTATTCTTCAGAGGGTGATTAAGAATAGATTTCTTCATTTACTGTATTACCTTGCCTCTGTATTTTCATTTATTGATCTGTTCTTTTCTAACTTTATCACGTTCATGTCACGGAACATCACATACCAAGGGAATAAAGACAGATAACTTTTCACCAATGATATGAGGGAAAGATCTTGGGAGAACTAAACTACATAAGAAAGTACTATGATCTATGGGCGGCACGGTGGCGCAGGGGGTAGCGCTGTCGCCTCACAGCAAGAATGGCCTGGGTTCGATTCCCGGCCGGGTGACCAGGGTCATTTCTGTGTGGAGTTTGCCTGTTCTCCCCGTGTCTGCGTGGGTTTCCTCCAGGTACTCCGGTTTCCTCCCACAGTCCAAAAACATGCAGTCAGGCCAACTGGACATGCTAAAATTGCCCCTAGGTATGAGTGAGTGTGTGAATGTGTATGTCTGTCTGTCTGTCTGCTGCCCTGTGATGGACTGGTGACCTGTCCAGGGTGTATCCTGCCTTCCGCCCAATCACAGCTGTGATAGGCTCCAGCACCCCACCGCGACCCAGAAGGATAAGTGGTTTAGATGATGTATGTATGTATACATATATATATATATATATATATATGTATATACTATCTAATATACAAGGTGCTGTGCAAAAGTCAGAGGCCCAATTGTAATTAATTTCCAAATTACAGTACAAGCTCATGAAACAACAAAAATGAAGCAAAAAGACAGGTGCTCCTGGGGCATGGGCACAGCAAACTCAAAATAACAATTCCACGCTGTTGCAAAAACCAAAATCCATCCGCATCCATAAAGCTTGTGCAAAATAAATCCCAGAACAAAGAAATTCCCAGGCACGCTGCCTTAAAAAAAGTATAAAAAAGCCTTGACATGCCATTGCTCTGTGTCCTGATGATTTTTATACATATTGCCAAGTTTCAATAAAAGGTTTTTTTATACTTTTCTTAAGATGGTGTGCCTCGGAATTTCTTTGTTTTGGGATTTACTTTGCACAAGGTTTATGGATGCAGATGGATTTCGGTTTCTGCCATTCCCAGCATGGAATTGTTCATTTCTTCTTGAGAAATATCTCAGATACAAAAATCAATTTACATAAGAAAGGAGAAACCTATTTAAAAAAAAATTATGAAAGGAAAATGGGGCTCCTAACAACCATGCATGACGTGGTAGACCATCATAACTGTCACCGTCAGATAAACAGTACTTAAAGCTTTCATCTTTGAGAGAGAGGAGAAAATCAAGCTACACTCTCACTTCCAATCTGAAAAAATCCACAATTGTTTATGTCCATCCTTCTACTATGAGAAGACAACTCAACACTGTGGGTCTGTCAAGAAGCTGTAACTAAGAAAAGGAAAGAAAAGGAAACAGACAAAAAAGAAGAACATTTGCAAATTAAACACAGAAGCTGCTGGAACCAATGGAATAACTTCTCTAGAAGTAACTTCTCTAAAAAGATAACTTCTCCACAGAAAACTACTAAAAGATACAATGCTACAGATTTAAGATAGTTTCACTTGCCATGACATACTTTGTTGCAGTGTAGGGTTTAAAAAAAGTATTTTAAGTTTTTGGTTTTCTCCAAAGTTATTGCAGTTCCTGCGACACATATCTCTCGAAGAACGGCCTAAATGGAGCCGTTCATGCCATCCTTTGGCTGACTGGCGTCATTATCAGAGAGGAAATAGTGCAGAGCAGGCTGCATCTAGGAGAGAGAGAGAGAGAGAGAGAGAGAGAGAGAGAGAGAGTGAGAGAGAGAGAGAGAGAGAGAGGGGGGACTTTTGACAGTAATCTCCCCCTGAAAGCAAAGACAAGTCTGTGCAATAAATGAGGGAGGAGAGGCTTAGGAGTGGTGTCAGTGGGCCAGAGAGAGAGAGAGAGTGAGTGAGAAAGAGAGAGAGAGAAGACAGAGAGAGGACATTCTCACGGACGTCTTAATAAACCCTCTGCCTCAGACTCCCCTCGCAAGACCAAATATTAATAAGCTGCTGCCTGCTGTTGACTTTTTCTCTCTTCTTCTCCTCTCCGTACTTCAGCACACCCCCCTCAAGCACCTCCCGCCTCCTCTTCCCCTCCCTGTATTTCCTCCCATTTTCTGCTCACCTCCTCTGGGACAGCACGTATGTTGGTGAAACCCCGTCTGAAGACCACATAGACCCGTTGCGCGCCGCAGCGGAGGGCAGAGGTGGCGCAGTCGAAGGCAGTGTCTCCGGCCCCCAGAACGATCACGCTGCCGCGGAGCCGGGGCAGCGTCCAGCCGCAACCACACATCCCTGAGCCCCAGAGAGAGGGAGAGATAGAGAAAAAGCAGGCAGAGGGAGAGAGAGTGAGAAAAAGGAAAAAACACGATTTCCTCCTGCAGAACTATTCCCACTTAACGGCTCAGCAGATACTAGTACTTAAAGCGGTGTAAAATTGCATCTTGGAGTCTGCAGACACAGCATGTCACTATCAAATTATTCTGCTCCGATGAGAGGCACATAACCCCCCACCTTCCCCACCCCACACCCCTCAAAACCTCTTTTTTTTCAGGAAATCTCCTCGTATGGGTAATTTCATAGCCCGAACCCTTCTACCTTTCCTTCACCATTCACCTTTTTTTCCCTTATCTTTAATAGGGATGACTACCGATTCTATTGAACGCGGCTGATTTCGACACGTGATAATGCACACCACTGAATCTATCAGAGTGTGATCTGCTCAGGCCTTTCTAGATGTGTCGCACAAAGACACATAAAAGGCTCCTTCCACAAAGCACAGACCCTATTACGCACCAACTCTCCTATTCACGCACACACGCAAATACATCCTTCTCTCCTTTGGGTCACAAGTATGGGCAAATACAGTATATGGTGTATTAAATACCAATTATGCATTTCCATGCAGTTGTACTACTCACACATATGGGTTTTATTCATTCAGCGTTAAAAGCTGCATATTCATACTGGACCTCATAAATGTATGGGGCTTCAAATACGTCTTCCAGTTATGTCACACAGCGATACCATGGGTGCAAGGTAATGCCTTTTTGAAAAAAATACATACTTGTGAGCAGCACAGCCATTGAAAAGAGTGTGTTTTTTATTTTTCTCCTCCAAGTAGTCCTACACGGCCGTGACATAATCATTCATTTTCAGAACGCTTCAATAGTCTTTTATGGAGGTTCATTGCTGGCATAGTTTTACTCAATATCTCAGAGTTTTTCATAGGTGTTTTATAGTAGGTGCGTTTTCACTGATCCAGGCATTCTCTCACGCTACAGAATCTAAAGAGATGCTTCCAAAGATGTCAAGGGTAAAAAGACAGCCTTGCGGATACAGAAAGGCCCTTATGTAATGTGCTTTGGAAAGCGGCGTTTTGGAGTCAATAGGTAAAAGTTTTCAGCAAACTAATTTCTATGGGTCTTTACCTGGTTTGCTGGCCTTGGCAACTAGTGGGAGAAAATCCTTGGAAGTATAAAATCCCTGCTCCATAGAGAGGCCTTCAAAGATTCTGTGCCTGTTAGCTTGAGGTAGACCTGTAGAAAATAGTGAGAAAGGATCATCGGCATTGCATTGCTGTTTTACGCTCCACAACGAATACAAGCTGTAATTAAAAAAATCTTTCTCTGCAAACATTCAAACTGCTTGACATGTCTCCTCTCACTAGACTCATAAAAAAATGTAACTTCTTAAATTCCCTGGCTTAAGCCTTATTATTCAGTAACTGCATGGAAAACAACGCAATGCATTGAGCTACTAGTTCTAGATGTAAGGAATAGATGCCTGGACCCACTGAAGGCTCCAGGATAATTCAATGGGATAATAATCGTCTTCAATGACCACTAGATTGCAAGTCTGCAGAACTAAGCAGTATGTACTGCATAGTGTGTAAACCTCATGCCCAGGCAAAGCTTCCTCAACAGAACACGCGCTCCTCATTTTCAACTCCCATCACGAGAACGCTATTCATTTTCTCTCTTTACACCCTTCCTTTAAATATAGCTTGCCCTAACACATCCCCCCATGCTCCTGTTTCCCTACATTCATGGGTGTCCATAAATGCACTCCTCCACTTGCAGAGAGAAGATGCTGCCTCACTCCATCACTCTCTGATAGACAGTATCAGATATCCCTGAGCCTGGCTGCTGCTCACGATCTGTTCTAGCACTGTATACTGCCATTAACCTCATCACACTACCTTGTCATTATTCTCGTGGTTTAGGAGGGAGCAATATTTAAATATAAGCTTCAGGAATGTCTAACAAAGCTTCTGATTTGCCATAACCTGTCATTATCACTTCCATTGAAAGGAAACAGAAAGAGATGTTAGCAAGGCTCAGATGCAGGCTTGGGGGGCTGGGTGGAAGATTTCTTTCTTGAGGAGTTTAACAGCAGCAAATTACAGATTTACTACTTGATACAAATTCATTTCAAATGTGATTATAGGGTCTTTTGCAAGGAATCAGAAATTTGGAGAGAGCAGAAACACGAGAACTTCATATGATCCAATTTGATCAGGACAGAAAGCACGTATTGAGTGTTTAAGTGATCGAGAGAGGGAAGAGCAAAGTCGCTCCTGTCAAAATCAATTAGCTTTCACCGCATACGCTTCAGTGTTAATTTGATTTCAGAAACTGCCCTGCCAAAGTTCTGCATTACAACATGCTTTAATGGACTTTACTGTCTTTATAATTCTCCACTCAGCCACTTTTTGCCCAATTTGCGCACATCATGGGAGCACATGGCATGCTATCCTGATGAATCCTCCCGCCCACTCACCTTGTTAGGGATCATATTCTTAATTTAGCCATTCTTTTTGGCTTGGAGAACATGGACGGCATGCATTTTTGTGAGATGAAAGAGCACCCCATGATTAAGAAAGTTACACTCATTATTAATGAAACTAGTCATTAAATCATACAATAATTAGGTAGCCACATTTCATCGAGACAAAATCACACCTTTGCCATCATCAATAACGCAGTAATTAGCAAGTGTTTCAAAGTTAGTTGCACCAAGCCAAGTCTGCGTCTCTGTTCTGAAGGAGCATCACTTATCAAGCACATAATCAGCTTGCCAACCCTGTTAAAGCAGATGTATACTGGACAACAGCCATATTAAATGTCTGAGAGAGAATGTATATGTCTAGCATGGTCCATATACACAAACGGCACAAGCAGTTTTACTGCTGTATAAATGGAGCCAGGCTGTGGATTGTGAACTGCATACCGCACAGACAAGAGCTCAGTAAATATGGAAATGAGTAGCAAGCTAATGGCAATGATCTGTAAACTGGATTATGGGCATGCTTTAAACTCAAGCCTTCTAAAATAAATTAAACTCAGGCCTTCTAAAATAAACGGACACAATGACCATGATGCTGGACACATGGCATTCCTGACATTTTAGCAGCTAAGCAATATTGATAAGTAAATGATGAACGTTCGCTATGTGGCTATTACGATGGACCAATTAAAGCCTGCATTTTTCTTAATTTAGAGCTGCCCAGCGCACTACAGTTAATTAACTAAAGCAATCACTGTACCTAAGATTACAGACATCTAAACATCTGCCAGTTTTTGAACATTCTTCGAAGCAAAGCAGAGTTTCAAATTACAGAGCATCTTATTTTGTATGTGTCGCATTAATAGGATCTTAAAAAGAACATGCTTATGTAGAAGTGTCCTTGAGGGTGTGAAAAATTCTCACTTTAAACGTTGTGTAGTTGGGCATGGTCGATAGCACAGTTCCTCTGAAAGATTTATTAAAAAGAGGAGGTAGGTGAGCCAAACTTCTAACACGTTCTCATGCATAAAAATGACCAGCGGCGCATGAATAACACGAACAAACAAAAGCACCTGCAACTTCCCCATGGCTGACTTCCTCTGAGCACACTCTGTTTATGCTAGTGAGAAAGATTCAAGAAGTTATGGCACATTACCCTTTCCAGTCATTTCAGTCTGTGCTGACAGGTAGGATACTGCACACTGCTATCCATTAGCATTCCCTGTCAAGTATCAAAGTCTAGGGAAAAAACAAAAAAACAGAGGAAACCTTAGCGGCACACCTTGACAAAGTGGATTTAAACAAAAAAGACTGCTAGTCTGTGACAGCTCTTTTTGAACGTAATGCGTCTCCATTTGTCCCATCCTGCATGCCATTCCGACTCCTGCACTGAGCCATGCTGCAGCAAGCATGCGCCCTGGCCTCTTTCTTTATGAAAAATCAAAAATAATAAATCATCTGTTGGGGATGCTTCACTAGCAAGCAGGTCCTCCCTCGTTAATCATGCGTTATCAGTGAGCATCAGTGAGAGGGAGGCAGCGGCCGTGGAGGGGGAGGGTCTCAGCCAGCTCCTCTCTTCAGCCTCCGACTTTCATCCACTGAGCAGTCCCTGACCTCTCTCACCCTTATGAATTGCACAAAGATGAACAAGAGACCAAGGCCACGGTGTTAAATAATGCAGAGTCACACTAAGTGCATTAAGATTTAACATAAATAAAGACCTCACAGGCAATAAATGCCCTCTTTCTGGCGTATTCATTAACCTTGTCTTTAGTAAAAATGGGACATTCCCAAAGAGAACGTGTTGAGAAAATGGCTTTCTTTTTTCATTGTATGGAAGTTAATCAAAGTCACCAGGTTTCTGCTTTTTGACGGATACAGAATAACTGTGACTCATGTCTTTTCAGGACAGATTTAAAGAAATACTTCATAATTTTTCAGGCAAAACTGTACAGCCCTGTGTGTAATATAATGTGTAATATAAAACGTCGCACTGACTAACTGCAAAGAAGTAGTAATTACGGTGGAAGGCATCGAGCCACTATTGATTGTCCAGCTTTTAGAATCACCAAGCTTTTATAAGTACTACATATCTGCACATCTGAAACTTTGATGGATTCAATATAATCCTGTTCTTCATGTGCCTTTGTGTATTGACCTGTTCCTCTTCTTGTTGCTGTACTGCCCCCCCCCACACACACACAAAGGTCATTAACATTGTGGCTTTTCATAACTCGCTCCTTTAAAGATGCTTTAGGCAAATCTAAACCCCTCACTTTAGCAAATGTATATGCTTCTTTCATGTGAAGTAAGTTCAGCCAGGAGTTTCTCTCTGCATAAATAGAAGTCCATTATGGGTCTACAGTGCAGCACAGTGGTTAAAGGGTTAACTCTGTCTTTAAAGCAATTGAACCTCTGAGTCAGCTTCTTAAGCCTATAGCCCAGAAACAATGGCCTTATCGGCCTCCCTCAACCCGCCTCCCATTTAGCCTACTGCCAGGAAGAAATTTGCATGTCAATCATGTCTGAGGATGACATTTAAAAAGCCTGTAAAGGACTAGTGTGAAATCACAGAAATTAATTGCAAACACCGCGCACTTTCATTTTCTCCGGGAATTGAAATTCCTTTACATCCTTTTGCAAAGAGAAATCCCAAAATGGTTCACATAAACGACTCAACGTAATTAGGATGCCAGTATCAAAAGTCTTGGAGCGTTTCGACACAATGAATTATACACATTTTTTTTTTCGCTTATCAGTTCAGTACAAAAAGACAAACAAAGAGACTGCTTCAGGTAATGTTTGAATTTCTAAGATCAATATATGACAGCTGAGTTTCTTTTTTCACTATAGAAAGCTAAATTAAGCTGGCGATCATCTTCCTAAATGGGACAAGGGCATTTTCAGATGTACGCGTTATCATTTGAAATGCATCATAATTTCAGAAGAAGGACCTCAGTGACTCATTCCAGTGGATAAAAGCAAAGTTGTGGATGTTTATATCCAAGGATGTGCAGGGTAACAAGATGAATACAGCCTAGTGAGACAGCAAATTAAAAGAACAACAGTTAGCTGCAGCAGGTGAGCATGCTAGTGCTGACAGAGAGGCAGTACATCTACATATAAAAAAAATGCACTTTATCGGCAGAGCCAATATGATAATCAGTAATTGATTCAGAAAGGCAGAGGCCATGTATTATGTAATGTGCTGTTCTGACAGTCAATAAAAAACGAGAAATAGAGAGAGCGAAAGAGAGAGCGAACACTGAGCATGTCTTGGCCTTTCTCCTGTTCGCGTGCTGCCTATAGACAGTGCAGGGGAGGATGTTATCACTGGGCTCTGCTGATAAGGTATGATGCCTAGGAGCATTCAGGTCAACAAGTGAGAGCGGTGAATAGCTCAGCAGGGGGAAAGCAGGGGAGAGGGACCTGACAGGAGACCAAGGCGTCCACCACTGAGAAGCAGTGGGCAGCCCCAGCGTGCGCTGTTAGGTTAGGCTGGTAGGACGCAGTGGCAGGTCGGGGAGGAAAATGAGAAGCGAATGGGGTTCCTGGCAGACCTGAGCGCTGAGGGGGAGCCATTGTGGAGCAAATCATCAGCAGCCATTATCGCAGGAATGGGCCGCCTGGCCTGCAAAACTACTTTCAGCGCTCTCACTTAGTCTGACTTGGTGGAAATGTGTGTGTATGTGCGTACATGTGTGTGTGCACATGTACTTGAACAGGCAGAAGCAGATGAGAAAGAGGTACAAAAATATGATAAACTGACCAATTCCAATGAAAATGGCTTTGTATCCCTCCTCTTTCAGTGACAGCAGGGTCATCCCATCTTGGCCCAGTCCTTTCTCACACACGATCTGATGGAGAAAAACAGTCAGGACACAAACAGACAGAGTGAGACAGCAGAGAAATAGGTAATATATAGGAGTGTAAATCTCTGACTTTACAAGAATTCAATTTGGTTATGACTCTTGAGGAAAAGGTTCAATTTAGAGATGCACCAAAATTTAAAAATAACTGCCAAAAATGGTACAATTTTGATTTTTGTCCAACAGAGACGGCAGCATTATGGAAATATCAGTGATATGAATAACGTTTGAAATCACTGTACTTTCTAAGTATTAAGAAAGGGTACAATGGCTCAAGAACTTCTCCCTTGCCATCTGTAGCCTCAGATTTTGAAATGAAAAATAACAGTGTCCAGGGGCAAAATATAACAAATAATAATGGAATTAATTGCCTTGCCATTTTCTGTTGTCATGGGCATTGGATTACATGACACTTACTGTAGCCTACAGACTGTATTCAGTTTATTAAATTTATTTTAAGTAAACTGTTTTTATTTGTTAGATTTCATTGGTTTTTGACCAAATGTGTCCTGAATTTCTGATTTGTCCAAAGATTTTCATTTCAGGGCATCACTAGATCTGTCTCAAATTTCACCACAATTAGATTCTATTATGATTCTTTAGGACACAATTTAATCCATTATGACATCTTAAATTTCACCATGATTCAGTTGTATTATGATTATTCAGCAAACCAGGAAATCTCAAATTCCTAACTCAACTAGATTTGATTATATTATTTTTGTGCAATTCAGAATTTTTAATAATATTATAGATATTTAATTATATTTTATAAAATGCACAAATGTGACTGAAGGAACTATTTACCCCATGGTGTAATACACACAACAAACACAATGCATAAGCTTTTTAGGGGAAATGTACAGCCCAAAATAGTCAAAGAATCTTGTACAGGCATACTGTACTATATTGAATACTATTATAACTGATTAAACAATTCTAACATTCCAAAATCACTGTAACTGAATTGCCACTATCAGATCGATGCATCACAATGCACTGATGAACATTTACACCCCTAATAATGAAGGTGCTAGGAATTTAATGGAGCACATACTGAAGTGTCTGGTTGCTGAAAGTGTCTCTTTTGTCTAGCTGCTCATAAACTAGACAAAACTAACAGGAGATGAGCGTGAAATGCAGAAGATCTGTTCCCTCTCTCCCTTTGCTTTTTACAGGGCCAGAAAAGATGTAAATGTGTTATCTGTCTGCCCCCCCAACCTGGTTCGCCACCCCTCGAGCAACTTTGAGAAAATGCGTTTCCTGTGCGAAAACGAATGCCGAGCAGGTGTGCAGGAGGAAGAGGACTATCGATTGCCCTTTCTCACCGCAGTGGCATTCAAGCAACAGACAGACAAGCGCCCACAGCCCAGACCAATGCACACTACCGCCTGCCTCCCTAATGCAGCTTTTAATTGTTCTTTATTAATGCGGCTGACATTTGGGCTGCTGATCCTCACTGAGACCTGTCACCTTCCGTAGCCTCTGATGTGGGCAGGAGAGAGAGGAGGAGAGGGAGGGAGGGAGGAAGGGAGAGGAGGAGAAAAAGAGAAGGAGAGATCAGAGAGGGAGAAGAGAGAGAAGGGGAGAATGAGAGAAAATTGAAAGAAAAAAGAAAGGGAGATAGAGAAAGAAGAGCAGGTTAGAGTGTGAGAGAGTGAGTATATGTGTGTATGAGAGGAAGAGACAGACATACAGTATGTGACCACGAGAGGGAGAGAGAAAGAGAGATAAGCAGAGTATGCGTGAGAGGTGAGGTGCTGCTCATTACCTTCACTCCCAGGTCTTTCATCAGGTCCAGCTCAAACTGCACCACCTCGTAGGGCAGGCGGAACTGAGGGATCTCAGAAGAGCTGGGGGAAAAAACAAGAACAAAAAATGAGAGAGGAAAGGGGGGAGAAAGAGGAAAAGAAAAAGCAAAAGGAAGGCTCCAGAGGAAGAGAAACGTTCATGGTAGAAAATGAAAAAACTGAGCGACAGACACAGGGAAAAAAGAGAGAGAGAAGGAGAGAGAGAGTGAGAGCACACGAAACAGAAATCCTCCTCCTCACACGGGACATTTTCCTCTGTTATTCCATTTGATGTGTGAGGGGGTTTGCTGCACTCAAACTTCAGCTCTTCATTGCCATTCCCAGCAGCTGCTGGACCTGCAGATCTGAGGTGGACACGCATAGGGCTCCCACCCTCAACAGCCATCGACTGGCCAGCTGAAGTCAGTCGGTGGTGGAAGAGCAGGTGGGGGTAATTGATAACCTCGTTCCATCTCGGCATTTGAGAGATGAATATTCCCAATTACAGAGACCATTCATTAATTATTCTGACCTTATGCAACGTTCTTCATATCGATCATGGCTAGTCTGATCAAAGAAGCACTTCAGTAACAGGATGTGAATGCAGAGTACAAAACACAGTTCAGAATTTTAACCAGAAAAGGGAAAGAAGTCGAGATCGGGGCCCACCTCAGTCCACCGACATACTTCTGCTTCTCGAAAATAGTGATGTTATCATAGCCGAGGCGGGCCAGGAAAGAGGCACAGCTGATGCTGGCAGGACCACAGCCAATCAGAGCTATCTTAGAATGGTAACTCTCGGGCATCTGCTCTGGAGGAGGGAGCTCAGGGTTCCTCACCTGAGGAATACCCATCCTACTGAACACCTGCAAAACAAACACAGAAAAAAGCTATGCTATGCTATGCGGTTGCTACAGTTTACATGCCATCTGCACATGTAATATTGTCAGGACTGCACTCCTTGCACAATTCATATCTTTTTATGCCTTACTATCTGTCTTATACTGTCATATTCTGTGTATTTTTATTGTATAATATTGTATTATTGTTGTGCCTTGAGGCAAGTTGCATACAGTACTGTGCACAAGTCAGAGACCACCCTTTCATTTATTCACTTTCCAGTCAAAACAGTTGTTAGATGACCAGTTATTCATTTTTCTGTAAGAAAAAAAGCAGGAAACATATATTTAACTCACATATACTTGATTTAATAAATTAATTTGTGTTTAATTTGTCCACTTTGTGCATCCTACTGCCGCTCTTCCATCATTCCAATCTTAGCATTCTTCCAACAAAAGTTGCCCCCAACCGTGTTACTGACATTACAGTCCCTTCAAAGACACACTAATATTCACACAAGAAACTACCCAAACACACTTTAGCTGTCCTACTAATTTCTTTCTCATGCATTAATAAGGAGTAGATTCTTCTGATGATATAGATATACACAAAAATCAACTTGCGTAAGGAAGAGGAAAGTCAAAGGAAAATAAGTGAGAAAAGAAGAGTTTCCAAATTTGGAATTATTAAAAAAAAATAATAACAACCTTGCAAGACGAGGTAGACTACCAAAACTGTCACCATCAGATAAACAGTATCATATTTGAGAGAGGAGAAAATAAGCTCCACTCTTTCGTCAGATCTGAAAAAATCCACAGGTGTTTCTGTCCATCCTGTTTCTGTCCATCTTTCCTCTATGGGATATGAAATGGTGTGTAGCTGTCAAGACGTTGTTATTAAGAAAAAGAAATAGATGAAAGAAGCAAAAAAAAATGCTTTTTTTTTAAAAAACTGAAAGTAAGACAAGTGGTCACATTAAATACTGAAAATTTTGATACTTTTTTCTTATATTATTTATGTATTATAAGTATTTATTAACAATATATTTGATTAGATTTTTTGTTAAGGCATCTGTGTATTTTTCAGTTAAATATATGTCTTTTTTATTGATTGATTTTTTTATTGATGCTGAAAAATTTCAGTGATTTGTTAGAGGGCTCATTTGCATATTGCAGCTTTCTGAGCTATCAGTACAACAATACTGTCAATAATACAATATCACAATACAGATTAAATAAGACATATTGTGCAGCCACAGCACAAAGACACAAAGTTAAGGTAATTAACTTTTTCTTGACTATTATCCTTTTTGTAACTTTACTACTATTACATGATATATAACAATGACTCTACATTTCTACTTGAAAATTTATGCATGGAAACATGAACTGGAGTCATGAATGATTCAGGCATTACGGGAAACAACAGAGAAATCAGTATTCGCCTGCGACTGGTGATTTGGCTCCAAAAGAAAACTACTTAGAGTCAGCATGATATTCATACATTTCACTCTGCTGCTGTCTTGGGCTATGAGCAGAAAACAGCAAAAACATAACAGGCAAAATTCGTTTATTCCATGAGTAACCATATGAAGACATCAAATGAAGATAGCTGGGGAGATACATAAAGAATAAGGCAAGTTATCCAAACAGGCCTTAATGAGAAGCCTGTAGCGCTATATCCATTAACAGTCGTAAAATGAGAAGACTAGCGCTTTGTCTTCTTAATAAGATTATCAAGATCCATACATAGAGGGTTGCATTGTTAATACAATATTATGCCTGAGCAGGCAACATTATAGGTGATATTAATTTAGTTATTCATGAATCTCATGAACTGTGAAGCCCAAATTGCTGCATGACAATGCATTTCTAATAATCCCTGAGAGGGGTTTAGAGGCCCTTCCTATTATTGCTGCTGCTATGAAACAAACAATGCATCAATTCAAAACACAATCTCAGTTTTCTAATTCTCCTCATCGTCTAATTGAAACAATGGACTGCAAACTGCACCTGACAAGCCGTGTGGAATAGGCCGAGGGGCTCCGTGTGCATCTGCTGCTGGGTAGCAATGACTTACTCAGCTCTACATACTTTTCTTTTAATATGCAGTCAAATATATTTGGGAAGAAAAACACACATGTTTTCATTTTCAGCTACAGTTTTCCCCTTACAGGCACAGTCAGTTGTTACTGTGGATTAGGGAGGTCTGGAGATCTACTCCCTTCCACTGTGTTCAGCTCCGAGCATGTTCACGTTACTGACCTCTTCGTTTAGGTTGATCAGTGGTACTAGATCAGGGCTGAATGTAAATGGAGTATATATATATATAAGAGCTTAGAGGCAAAAAATAGACTTTCACCAAAAAAGCTTAAAATTAAAATTTAATTTCATTACATTAAATGAAGATAAATAAATCAAAATAATACATAATTTTAACAGAACCATGAGTGAAAGGAACTCTCAGGTAAACTCTCAAATTGTCATATATTAATGTGTGTTATATATTAATAACCTTTCCACTAACTCACATTTTCATAAAAAGTCAAAAAGTTTGTGTCATTATATTTGTGCCCTCACTCAAGGAAGCCAATCTGATGTTAAAGAGCAGCGGGAAATTGTGTCAAGAGCCTTCCGCTGTACATTTTCTGAGTTTCTTTATAGCAGACTGACATCCATGCTGCCATGCACATGGCTCACCTTTCACAATGAGGGTGAGAGAGTAAGCAAGGATGCCTGGGAAAACGTTAATGCGCTTAGCCACCTCCAGACAGAAATTCTGTGTATCGCCCATAATTGAAACGAGGCACTGACTTTATCTGTGATTGCAGCCAGGCTACAGGAGCAGCAGCTGAATAGAGCTGGGCAGTGATAGCCCCTCTACCTGGGGTTATCTAATTATCGGCTCGATAACCAGGCTGACCTCTCACATTTAAGGAGAGAGGAGCTGCCACCTAGACAGAGATGTCTAATAAGTCACGGCACAGGTGGGTGGCAGAAGAGAGTGGCCGCTTTTGTAATTGCGCCTTTTATTCTCTACAAAGTAATGAAACTGTACATGCCACAGCCCTTCTTTTTTTAGGTGTAGTGTGAAGATACATAGCAGGGGCTAGATCTAGCCACCGCCTCTCATCGCAGGTACCAGTTTTTATGTAGCAAAGAAACTTCATATATACCAGGGGTGCCCAAGTTTGGTCATTTGGTCTCCTTTGGTACTTTGGTCCACTAATCTAACACACTTGAGCCAATTAATAAAGGTTTTCAAAAGTAACAGAATATTAGATGGCATATTTTATATTTTGGTATATCAGATTAAGCACATTTTAATGGATATGGTATCAACTATTTTAAGCCTGATCCGGTTCTGATCCTTTGTTTCTTGTTTTACTCATGGTGCTGTTGTAGAGGTGAGTAAACAAACATTATCCACAACCTGAAAAAGTGAGGCATGTATTCAATAGTTGGTTATTGAAATGTCTGCAGTGTGGAACTATTTTGCAATTGAATATTAAGTTAATATCTGCAGCACTAATGTTTCCACTAGTTTGTGCTAGTCATGTTTCCTGGCAACCACTTAAAAATGGGCATTGAAACTGGTTGTGCCAAGCTGCTTCTTAGTGTCTCTGCTTACATCATTCATAACAGTGTATTCGCAATGTATACAATGGCTATTTCACAAAAACAGTCAACATAATACAAAGGACAGAAGCAAGAACTTGGGTTAAACATTATGGGGGTGAAAAAAAAAAAGAATTATGAATTTACATCCTAATCTGATGACAGATGTTTAATTTGGGAGAAGGACATTAAAGTAAGAGCAGGAATCATGGTTAAATATATGCAAATTATTAACATTATAAATTTTGTTTTTGTTATCTTTTGTGACAAAGTAGATAATGTGATCACTTTGCACTGCTATTGTCTCATAATAGTATGAATCCAGGAAAATGGAATTTGATCTGCTCATAATATTAATAGATAATATTCTTATTATGTGGAGATATTTTTAATGTAAAACAGTACCTCTTGATATTAGGTCAAAGATTTCACACACAGCAAACACAGAGCAGCAGAGCAGTAGAGCCTCCTAGTGCTGCGGTATTTACAGAATACACGAGGAGCCAATTTTTTCCACAAGCCGTGCAGAAAAAAAAAAACAGTCAAATAAGCCATAAAGAATTTTTAAAGAATAAAAAAATGAAACTGAAAATTGAACAAAACTTTTAAAAATGCTAATTCTTTCATCCAGGGCTGTAATCAAAAGAAATACTACTTAAACAGTCTGTGCTGTAAACAGATTTTCAGACTGGTCCACTATACTCTGCGACTGTGTAATTTATATAAGTTTCAAACTATTTGCCAAGAAAAACGCAAATCTGGCAACTCCATGTGATGAGAAAAAAAATTTCCGCACATGCGGAAAGCAGTGTTTTTGGCTGCCATAGTGACCCTGCAGTTTTAAATTCCTACTGTTAAATGAAGTTTCACTATAGCAGCTGTTTCCAGAATGTTCTATTCAGGTTCACTATTGCGGTCTTTCTCAAGTTTTGCACTACGACTGGAAGGGCACTGCCCCCCTTTTTTAGTTTTGCGGGGGTCAAACGACTCAATGCCCGCCCATAGTTGGCACCTACAAACATAAGTACAGGTGTTTGGCACCCCTGATTGACACTGTATTTAATCTTGTTACAACATTCTATTAGTAGGTAACATTTGTTTCTCAAAGTTCAGTCATAGCAACGCAATTAACCTTCACACATAATATTCTTTATTTAATTATTCATTTAGGTTTTAAAATTTTACCCAATTTAGTCATATTTAGTTCTATCTGCTATCCATCACATTATGCTACCAGGCTGGGAGAGTGAAAGCTAGTATGTGTTACTTCCAAGATATGTTAAGTGTCAACTGAGCTTTTTTAACTGCTAAAGCAACATTATTGGACGGTTCAACATGCTTGAAGGAGAACGCTAACTGCCATTTCTGACAGCTAACAGACACCCTGTTTGGCTAACATCATGCTGAGTGATGGTGGGAGAGGGAGGCCATCCTACCCTCCCAAAGACAGCCAGGGCAATTACATTCTCTTGTACTCCCAACATCACTGGGGATGGAACTTGCGATTTTTTTCTTCTTTTAAGGATTCTTCAATTTTATATTATATTGGTATAACATTTAAATTTAAAACAAAACAAAACAAATCAAAGGTGGTCCAGGTGACATCTGACTGATATCCAAACCGTTTAATTAGGTATCTGTGCTGATACCAATCCAGTGTATCAAATCGTTGTATCAGTAGTTCATATAAAAACCTGACAAAACTGCAAACAAATGGTTTAGAGACATAACTCTTTGTTCTATGCTAAGACTCTACAGAAAGAGAATTTAGCCTGTCATGTTCTTTTACTGCATTTGCAATACAGAATCTGGCAGCAACACTTGCTCTTATACATTCAGTACAAACAGTGGTACTTTAAAAGACTGCCTTGCATGGCTGCATTACCTAATGTGTTTGAATTCCCTGCTTTTGTGGCCGCTTAACTGTTTCCTTGAACTCTGGTTCACTTGTCCGAATGGGGAATGAGGCTAACGCACTCCTACTGAGTGCAGTTACACAACATAGTCATAAAGAAAGTGTAGAAGAACAGAATAAATAAGGTATAGAAACCTTAGAACTTAAAAAGTTGCAAAAGTCTCCAACAAGCAGGCTAATTCACCCTAGATTTGATATTGTAATGTTACACAATCATGTTAATCATCATTCAGTCCATTTCAAAACTACTGTATCCAAGTCATCATAGGATATTGTCTGTCTCTTGAAAAATGACCAGTGGTATCATTGCAGTCTTTTCAGTGTGCTACTCCACTTCATGCTATAGAGAATAGAGCCTTCGTTAGGAGCAGGAAAAGCATCCTTAGCAGCAACCCCACAGGGCCATGGGTCAAAGACAGCAATTCAGGCCCACACACTATCTCTGACATTTTCATTTAATTAGCAGTTACCATGGAACTAAATAAAGCTTGCTATGAAAATGACGAGAAGAGATACTCTGATTATCTCAGAGCTGCACCATGGACTAAGACACTTGTATTCCAATCATTATTCCACGGGAGAAAACAAGGCGCCAGATGATCAAACAAGTTCTACATATAGCGGTTCAAAAAAGCCAAAGCTTTACATAAAAAGCTGCCATCGGCGATAACAGTCATGCCACGTGAGGAACATCCAGAGGTGCTGAAAAAATCTCTGTGGAAATCTATTAACTGCAAACCGAAACATCTCAGCTGAGCCGCTTTAAAGCAAAGCCAACCCCCCCCCCCACGCCCCCACTGCCGCCATCCTCTTTTTTAGTCCTTCCTTCTGAACATGAAATGAAGATCATCTGACATTACATTCTCTGTTTTAGACATGAAAGATAGCCCTGCTTGCTTTAGCTTCTTAAACCCTGCAATTTAACAAAGTAATCTGTGTTGACTTTGACGTGTGGCGCGAGTCGAGCCGCTTTCCTCAGGCCCTCGTTTCAGCCGGGATTCTAATGGGGAATCCGTCGTTTATCGTGGAAGAAGGGCTCGGCTGCTGGGATAAGGCAGAGAGAGAATTACGACTGTTATGGCAGAGGATGACAGACGCCATGCACCCGAGCCTCTACTGCAGCCATAACAAAGGGCTGAGAGGCCCCATTAATAAAGCACTGGGTAGAACATGCTGTCTTTCCATCATGGCTTATGTGAGCTAAACGGAGAAAGGGAGAAATTACTGCTCTACCACTGAGCTAGTGAAGGGGTCGGCCGTAAAAGCACACGCTGTGCTTTTACAGGAACTCCACTGCTAAAAGCACAAAAGCAGAAGTACGGCATCTGCACACTTTGAAGAAATGTTCGCGCTCACTCGTGTTCAGGGGTACTAACCTTAAGGTACTCAGAAACATTGTTTTTTTTATGTCCATTTACCTAGTAAACAGAGCTAATTCTGACCTCTAACATGGATAGCTCCAGAGAGACTGAGAATGAAAATGAACTGTGCAAATTCATCAATGTCTTATGAAAGAGCGCCTGATATGAGATGCACAACGAATAAAAGCATAAACAGAAACTTGCTTTTGTTAGTCAAGCGCTTTGTTGTTCACAACTTTTCAGACAGGACGTACCTCAGTGGCGAACTGCTGCAGCCCCCCGATGTTGATGGGTCCTTCCTCAGAGGCAAAGAGGTTACAGCCGCCCACACAAAGATCCGAGGTGGGACACACCATCCCACACGTCAGACCCAGCGGATTGTCTGACAGGATCGCCCTTGCCGCCCCATAGTAGTTCTACAAAAGAACAAAATAACACTTAGACAGAACAAACACACATAAAAGGGCTTGTGAGAAAGTTACCAATGCAAACTAAGGCCTGAAATCACTGATAATGTTACATCATTTCATACATAAATACATTTCTTCTGCCTTTTGCTAAAAGGGTGAGGGTGAGAAACAGCAGCGACAGACAACGAATGCGTTCAATGACCGTCAAACTTGCATGAATAGAATGGAGCAAAAGCACTGTTCCCCAGACAGCCTTGATTCAAAACTAAAGAGAACTAAATCTCTAAATTCACAATATGCACTGAATGACAACAGCCTTGATTGTACAGCAGTGCAGCAGAGGGAAGGTAAGTTCCAGGCAGCACTTAGTAAGACCATTTTGGAAGGACCCTTTCATGTTGATTATATAAGTTGGTCTTCAGCTTCAATGCCTGACTGATAGCTAAATGAGCAGTGCGAAGCCAATGGGAGATCTGGAACATTGCAGCTTTTGAAAAGCCATGCGGATCAAGCACTCCTTCAAAAGTTAAGTAAGCGTGTGCAAAAGACAAACCTTTCTATTCAAAGCATTTGCAGCATCTCCGGGGAAAAATGTTTTCTAAAACACGTAGATTCCTGATGAATGCAGGGCTGCCACATTCTGCAAATTTCCTGAATGTCAAATTTCCCTCTTTGCCATAATAGCAATGTTTGTCATTTCAATAAAACGTCCAGCAAAAGGAAAGCGAGAGTCAATGACATGAAATCAAGGTTAGCTGAAGCAATAAAACCAAGTATTTTTCATCAATTTTCATTCTTTTTAAAATACTCAAATGCATGATATTAAAAAATGAAACAGGAATTCATGTTATTCAGCATCGTAACAATATCAAAAAATCAAAAGAAACATTTTTATTAATACCTGCATCCTAAAGATCTGTTGTAATCTTTCACATCATTTATTAATGAAGTTTTAGTAAATACTTCAGCGTAGTATGCATCACAAAAATTACAATAATAGACTCCTAAAAGTATGGTTCTTTAAGGGTTCCTTAGTAAAGGCAATGGTTCTATTTAGAACTATGATCATTTCATGCTTAAATGGCTCTCTACATGTTGAAATGGTCCTTTAGATTGACATAGAATGTGTTATATATGGTTCTATACAGAATTTCAAAACAATAGAAGAACCCAATCAGCAATTACTGTTTATTGGCTGAATTTAACATACTGGAAAAAAATAAAACATATAATTTTAAACTTGGCTAAAAACATGGACCTGAGCACAACATCTGTGGAAACAAATGCCATATTTAAGCATGTTCCTCATAGAGGTTGTTAACTTACTTTCACTTAGAAAATCAAAAGAACATGTAATTTGACCAAAAGTGTATGTCAAAGCCACTTTTAATGGAATCCACTTAATGTTCTGACACTTGAATGGCAGGAAATCAGATGCAAAATGCACATTACCTTGTTAGCAATGCTGGTGATGAAGGCCTTTATGTCAAGGTTGGTGGGACAGCTCTTCTGACAAGGTGCATCAGCACACTTTAGACATCTGTCAGCAAACAAAGAAAACATGCTATGGTTATTTTGTGTGCTGTACATTAGAATAGCACCATTTAGTGTGAAATCCTGGCTTACTGAGAGGATGGAGAGTGTGCTAGGTGACAACCACGAGGAGAGACGAGCATGTCTGTGCCACTTAATATTTTGACTTGCCCTTTGCATTAATATGAGGCCACATTACTTGTAAAGAAGAAAACCAACCTGACAAGCTGAACGTCCAGCTCCATCTCCTGGGGAATCATCCTATAGTGAATACACTGCAGCTCAAAGTCGCCATATTGGTGACAATGACAAACTAGTTTTGAATGATAAATAGGATAATTTAGAAGGGGATAATTAAATATTCATGCCCAATCAGAATGGATGTTTTGCCTGTGGTCGTGAGCATGTGTGACAGGAGGGGTGCGGCAAGGAGGGCCCCTGCTCCTGCTGTTGGCACACACTCATTAGTTTACACGTTAAAAACACACACACAGCTGTTTGAAACCCAGCACACTAATGATTTCAGATGATGTGGCACTGATTTGGAACAGTGCTTTCTCCTTTAGGGTGAGCAAGGAGGAAGGAGGGAGAGGGAGAGGGAGGGAGAGAGAGAGAGAGAGAGAGAGAGAGAGAGGGAGAAAGACAAAGAGAGAAGACAGGAAAGTGAGAGAGGGAGAGAATAAGTGGGGGAAAGGAACAGACAGAGAAAAGAGAGAGGAAGACATCACAGCAAAAAAAGGACTTGAAAACAGATAGTAGACCAAAAGAGAGAGAGAGAGAGAGATGAGAAATGCACACGTAAAGAAAGAGGAGGAGCAAGACTTATGCCCGCACCTTGTGCTCCCACCAGCATCCTCAGAGACACCCCCCGACACACACTCACAAACACACATCCCTGTGGAGCAACACAAAGCCACACACACTCCAGCTGGACGCCTATAATAATCCCATCTCACGATGCTGCGAGCCCAGTACAGACTAAAGTGCACAAGGCCGCCATTAATACCACTTATCACAGTGACAGCGGGGTAATTACCACAGTGCTGCGGCCAGGTAGAGCGGACTGGAGACAGGAGCCGGCGCATGGGACCACGCCGCAGCACCGCTATGTTTTATTAAACCTGGGTGGTTGATCATCAAGTGACATTAGTGTTGACCCATTTTCCTTATTTGACAATAAATTATCCTTGGCCCCTGGCATAATGGATATTGAAGCAGCGTTTGCCCGGGAGAAAGCCGGGGCTAGATGGAGGAGCTCACGCTGCTAAAGTAAGAGCAGATCTCAGAGGATGCTGGCCAGCATCAGCCCTCTTATCTCCTCTGGCATGATTAATACTGAGGGTACACAGTGAGCAGCTTCAGGAAGACATAGAGCCAGAGCCACATAAATATTTCTCTCTCTCTCCCCCTCATAAAAAAATATAATGTACTCTTGCCAACATTCAGTTATAAAACCCGCCTCTTGTCCAACAAATGCATTATTCAAAATTCACTGGAACTGGACTACTGCACTATATTGCGCACTATACTGATGACCTTAAAAAATGAAATTTTTGTACAGTTTAGACATACAGCCTACAAAGCAGCCATTCCCAGGCAGGTCACAGTGTACAAAAACATTCATAAAGATGAGATCTCGGAGATCGAAATGAAAATCTGTGCGGGGGCACCTTCAGTTGATTCGGGGGCTTTTTGTCTCTCCTTTCAGAAAAAAGAAAAAGAGAAAAAAAAGAAAAAAAAAGCTAGCTTGGGGAAAAAAAGAAGAGTCAAAGTAAAATAACCTATTCCCTCCACTGTCACACCCAGCTCTGCACAATGGCCATGGACAAGAATCCCATTGGCTCTCTTTTTTCTTCTCTCAAGGTAACATTAAAGACACTGGCTACATACACATTTTGGGCCCTCATCTATCTCCTGTGGCCAGCAGCCCAAGTGCTTAGCAAATGTCAACAGAAAATAATGCACACACAAAAGCAATCTTATTTGTTCAAGAATTGCTCTAGGTCACAGCAATTCAAGCGGGCATGGCGAGCCGCGCTCCAAAAAAGAGTGGCTCACCGCGGAGTGCATTAGGTAGAGCACCACCGCTATGCGCTCTATAATGCAATCAAATCACTGACTGTACACATGCTTTTTCAAGGAGCCCAAATAATCATGCAATAAGCATTGCCGAAATTGAAGGAGCTGTTGATTAGCAGACCACTGCAAGCTGATTTTTCCCTTTCCTTTCTTTCCCTCTCTCTTCCACTCTTCTCATCTTTTGCTTGACTAATAATCAAAGGCTCTGAATGCTTTGTGTGATGAGTGTATTCCACGGCATTACGGGCCCCCGGTATTCACAGGTAGCTAATCTTGTTATTCATTGTTTCTATTATTACTAAGTCAAACGAGCTTGCGATAGAAAGTGGAATTCAATTCAATAAAAATCCAGGCTAAGAGATACAATTTTAATGATTGCTTACCTTTATGAATTAGTTGTCTCCACAAATAGTCAGAACTATTTCATCTCCTTTTGAGAAACTAATAATTTTATTCATATTCTTTGGGAAATGGGATCACCTTTTAGTCAAGAGAGTTTTGAAGAGTCTGTCAGAGAATGGGGGAAAAAATTAGTCCTAACAGCAAAACCCCTCATTCACAGACGCAGTCACAAACCCAGTGTCTAATAATGCTGCCAGGGATGAAATAAAATAGCACTTCTGCCCCTGCAGTGGAGCCCTGGAGAATATGCAGTTGAAGTGCAGTGAAACCCTGAAGAACAACAGCTGGACTGCAGTAAAACCCTGGGGAACATGCAGCTAAGTTACAGTAAAACCCTGGATAACATGCAGCTGAATTGCAGTGAAACCCTGGAGAACATGTAGTTGAATAACAGTAAAACCTGTCACACACAGTTGAATGCAGTTAAATTGCAGTAAAACCATGGAGAACATGCATTGAAATCTTAGTGATAATGACAAAATGCTGAGCTGAAATTAATAACATACTAAGGGAGGCTAATTTGGCAAAAAAAAATTTGCAATATTTGAAGACTTTTTCACAATCCATGTATCACAATATTTTTTCTGAAATTTTAACACATTGGAATACACAATATTCTTTGGTCTAGTCATCATGAACTCCCATAATGTAAAGGACAACAGGCAAAAAAAAAATGTCAAAAAAAATGACAAAAATGCAGATATGAGGTTTTCTACTGACAAGAGCGATATGCTATATGTTATTTGCAAGATAAATTACTTTTATTACTTTTAAATTACTTTTGTTGTTGTGAGCATAACTGTGGTTCATGCGAGATTATAGTGCAGATACATATATATTTTAAGTATAAATATTTTGAATGACAACTTTTTTTTTGTACTATTTTGTCAGAAGAAATGGAAACATACAAGCTTGAACAGAACAAAAAGTCATGCTTTCCAAATCTATATCATATCAAATTCTGCTTCATCACTATGTCAATTTAGGTAATTCATTAGGTAAATCATTATGTCTATTTAGGCAATTTTTAGGTAATAAGCTAATAAGACAACCCAAAGGCATATGTCTTTCATTTATCTATAGTCCTGTGCAAATGTTTTAGGCACCCAAGCACTCTTTAAAACCATTTATATGTGTGTTTATGTTTGTAAAACCATATGACATTAGAATAAATACAAATAAACCCAAATTAAGTAAAAACTAATAAGAATTGAGGTAATTAAGGTAATTGAGTAATTCAGATCTTGTGAGCTAGTTATGAGTACAAAGGTTTGGTTCTTCACTTCTTCTCTTTACCCCCAAACACTACATAGTTTTGGTCACAAACTCAATTTTTCCTTAATGAAGGATTAATTCACTTAAACCATGTGCTGGACGATCAAAGCTAAAACTGGGCTTCCTTAAGAAGGGCTTTCGATATGGTTAAACAAGCACATTGGCATATATAAAATTATTATTTATTATATAAAACGTTTCAAATATTAGTGATTTTGTAAGGAAGAAACACTTGCAGCCCAGATAGATAACTTTTAAATAAAATTTCCTCAGGTACCTTAAAGTTTTGCACCGTCTTAAAAACAGTAACATATTTTTCTCATCTCATCATTCATTCCCTTGTTTTATTTGTTTCTAAGTTCTTACATTTTGACAAAGCATGATATACACTTATGTATGTCTGTTATGTAATATATATGTATAAGTACATGTATAACAAGAACTTTAAGCCTAATTCTAAGCTTTAACCTCAGTAACCAATAAGAAATAGGTTTTTTAAAAACGAAACAATGAAACAAAGTCGGAACCACTTTTTTTGGTTGCTACCAGTTTGGTCCCAACCATCCTGTTTTTCTGCTTTTCCTACAGAGGCAGGACATATCTGTCCAGAAACTGTATGAAAACAAACACATAAACACTCACACACGGGCGTGGAGCTGAGTGGCGGCAGTGCTGCTGGGAGCCGCAGCTGTGGGCACATGTGTAATGATGTGAGTGGGGCTCGGGGGGAGGCAGGCGGAGACGGAGGCAGGCGAGGTGAGATTACAGCGTGCTCTCGGGGTTAGCACAGCACCCGTCACAGCTGTCAAAGCCACACTGACCCCCACTGCCCACCAGCACAGGGGAGAGCCAACAGCTGCACACGCTGCTGACTATCTGCCACACACCACACAGAAAGAAAGGGGGAGGGAGGGGGGAGATTTGGGCAGGCTGAGTACACGAACAGGTCTAAGTATGTGTTCATGCATGTGCAAACGTACTTCCATGCAAACAATGAACATGCTTACGATTGTTATTGCACACATTATCTGTAGCACCAATAATCCAAACATTCTAGCAGATTGTAGCACAAATATCACTGCTCATTAAAGTAGAAAGCTGCACAGAAAAATGCATATAGGTTCTGCAGGATGAAGATCTTGATAGCACCTTCTGTTCCATGAACCGGGTCTCTCACCAAAACTGAAAAGTTAAATGAAATCAAATACCCGCTGCCATGGTAACACGTGGAGCAGGTTTTGGGATCTGTCA